TTGTAGCTCTCTATCTTAAGGAATTTCAAAGCAGTCCAGCAGTCTCTACAGCCCTTTCCTTGCAGCAGCAGAACAGGAGCAATCCAATTTGTTTTTTTGTTTGCTCCCCAAATGTCCCTGGAACTTTGAATGGGGAGGGGGCATATGCCTGCAGGGCAGCAGAAATCACAAAACACTGAGCAGAACCATCAGAGCAGGCATATGAGCTCTCTATCTTAAGGAATTTCAAAGCAGTCCAGCAGTCTCTACAGCCCTTTCCTTGCAGCAGCAGAACAGGAGCAATCCAATTTGTTTTTTTGTTTGCTCCCCAAATGTCCCTGGAACTTTGAATGGGGAGGGGGCATATGCCTGCAGGGCAGCAGAAATCACAAAACACTGAGCAGAACCATCAGAGCAGGCATATGATACTGGCAGAAACCAGTTCTCTTGACAAAACAAACAGCAGAGTCTGTACTTTGGCAATAAAAGGAGAGAGAAATACAAATGTGTCTCTCGGGTCAACGTTTTTTGTTACCAAAACGGTGTTTTTTACAACAAAAGTTGTATTGTGTAAAAGCTCTCGCTGTTTTGTTGTGAAAGGCAGATTTTGGCAACAAAACATGCCAGTGTAGACAAAGCCTTTATCACAGACCTTTTCTGAAAATGAGTTGGACCTTACATAAAGTTACAATCCTTAGTACCATTTCTGTTTCTGGTGTTGAATTTGATAAGAGCCAGAGTTAGGTGTGTACAGTTAATTACACTTTATATTAATGAATCTCATTTACTCAATTTTGCAACCCTGGCAAAAATCTGTAAAATTATTCAATGAGGAAATGCACTGTGCCTATCTCAGCCATTCCACGGTAGGCTGTCCTCTTGTCAGTACCCAGAGAATGAGCTGGATTGGCCAGTACTTGGATGAGAGACTTCCAAAGAAACAAGGCTTTACAGAAAGTGGTTGCAGTGGAGTTTTTACTGCTAATTCAGTAATGACCCGAATGTTCCAGCATAATATTGTTGGGGCACAGAGTTTCTGCAAGTATGTCTTCTGAATGAAATGTAAACGGAGGTCATGACTACTGGTAATCATTAAATACAGGGCAGTTTTACAAGAGAGTTAGGTCGGGTTGCCTATGTAAAATCTGCTTATCAAGCTGTTCCCTTGGTCATTTCAATGGGATATTATAGTCCTATGTTGTTAACCAGGTGCAGAAGTGGCTACGTTTCATGGGAGAGCAATATGATTCCTGTACTTTGCAAAGTAGTCGGGGATAGTAATGATTCATCACTCATTCAAATTGAATCAAAACTATAGAAGTAGTTGCTGCCTAGAAATGCAAGCTAAGTGACGTGATAAAACAGTTGATACGTAACAATTTAAAATTTTTACTTTAGAAAACCAGAATTGCATGCAGTTCTACATTCTTTATATGAAAAAAGTACATCCAACTAAAGCACTGAACTAAAATTCATCCTTTGGGGCAGGGCTACTCAACTTTGGAAGCCCCGGGCGCCACACTGATAGGCATGAATACAGAGATTAAGGCAAGACTACACAACACACAGGCCCCATTTAAGTCAGTTCTGCTGATATTAATAAAATGCAATATTTACCTGATATCCACCCACATGACAGCACTTTTAATAAGCAATGACAGTCCAGGAATTTAACTACTAAAACACGTATCAACAGAAGACCATTCTATTGACTACTTTTTTGTTTTGGCTCCCACCTGATTGGTGCAAACAAAAGGGCCGTGGGCCGCATGCAACCCCTGGGCTGCGTGTTGAGTTTAGGCTGCTTTAGGGATAATTCACTGTTTAAAAACATTCCTATTAAAAACTAACCGACAGCCCCTGGGCTGCGTGTTGAGTAGCCCTGCTTTAGGGATAATTCACTGTTAAAAACATTCCTATTAAAAACTAACCTTGAGGGGAAATATTCAAAGCAAAAGTTGAAAAAAGATGAACTTTCTAATAAAGACATGGCAAGTATAGAGTTTCTTCACAGATCAAAAATAAATGTTAATTGGTAAAACGGAAAGCCTCATTTTTTATTGTTTCTATGTTAAAATGTTTAAACTTGTCAAAGTAGGTCAAGACTCTGCAGGACACCAACCCATAATAAGTTTCCAGTAAAGTGCAGTCTTTTCCATCACTTATCTCCCTCCATTCTTTAAGTATCTCATCATCTTCCATTCCGGAAGAAGTGAAAATGAATTTGTAGCAACATCGATTGTATCTAATGTGCTTTTTCCCAGAAAATCTAGAACTCTGAATGGGTATGATGCCAGCATTCTTAGCACAGATTCCAACAAAGACATCAGGAGGAACCAAAAGTATTGTTTCCTTGGCAACAACATATATCTTCCGAACAACATCCTGGGAAATTACAAAAGCTGTTCCACTACAGTAATCGGGGTAATATTGTTCTTGATATTGACTGAGAGAAACAAAGCCTTTGCTTTGAGGGTCTCTGTCAGGCACCTCTTGATGAATGACCCTTCCAATGTAAATATCCTCAAGATGTGTTTTTAAATTAAGCAAGTAGTCAGCCAAACTTGCAATGTTGACAAATATTTCTTCATCGGTTTTGAGAAGAAATTTTGCATTGGAACAGAACGCTAGAGTCCACTCCATGCTCATCACAATCTTCAGTGTCTGATTCTCAGAAGAATCAAGGAAGTTTCCTTCAATGATGTCTCCATGGTTTTGAGACTCTTCACTGATATCTAACTGCATGGCTTCTGAAACTGGCTTTCCTAAAGCAAACAAAATAAGCACAGCATACCCCCTGATGCCTGTCACATTCCCCCATGTTTGTCTGATCAGGTTACGCCTTGTCCTGTTTGCTGGGCTGCTGGACACAATAGTAAGTAGAAATACCTCTTGATCTGAGCACACCTCTGAGCTGCTGATGATAAAAGACTTGGAGATATTGGTCTTTAGTGGATCCATGTCTAATTTTCTGGCCTTCTCCCTGATTTGGAGAATTTTCATGTCCGTGTAGGTAACAGGTAGTGAACGTAGAAAGTATTTCTCCAGTAAATCTCCTCCAAACAGCAAAGAATGGAAAAGCATGATGTTGAATATAATAAAACACCATTGGTGCGTCCGAAGCCTGCAGAACATCACCTGGCAAAGAGACAGACATTCAGTTCTATCTCTAACTGATGATAAAGGTAATCATTTCAAAAGATACTGGACTAGTGTGGAGTCAAGGCAGCCTGCTTCTGTTTCTCTGCTATTCTGGTCAAATTCCTTTTCCTCTTTGGTTTTTATTTTTGTGAAACCAGGCATGATGCCCACATTTTGTAAAGGGCTAATAATCCACATATGAAAAGTGATATAAGCAGCCTTTTAGTCAGGCCCATTCTATTCAACATATGGTAATGGTAGTAACATACATTAACATGCACGCGCATATATATATATATATATATATATATATGTAATTCTAATTTATTGGTGTCCATTTTCCTAATTTCCCAAGAGATTACACAACATGCTCGGCATGTGTTTATATATGTAATTTTCATTTATTGGTGTCCATTTTCCTAATTTCCCAAGAGATTACACAACATGCTCGGCATGTGTTTGATCATTTTAAAAGCTTTTAGCAGCGTCTGTGACATTTAAATGACCTGTAACTTGAAGAATTATTGTGAAATAAAGAGAAAAGGCTCTGCAACTTTTTAATTAGAGAGTCTTGTTTTCATTTAGAGTGCCTAATTTTCATTTATTGGTGTCCATTTTCCTAATTTCCCAAGAGATTACACAACATGCTCGGCATGTGTTTGATCATTTTAAAAGCTTTTAGCAGCGTCTGTGACATTTAAATGACCTGTAACTTGAAGAATTATTGTGAAATAAAGAGAAAAGGCTCTGCAACTTTTTAATTAGAGAGTCTTGTTTTCATTTAGAGTGCCAGGAATTGGAGTTGAAAGAAATTGATCATTTCATCAAGACTATCTCTCTACTAATTAGCACTGTGTCCTACTGTATATCTGTTAATGTTTCCCTTGGTCTCATTTTCAATATCCCAAGTGATGGGGCTTTGGCCATTTACCTTGGGAT